ACCACCAAGGTCAGTACGATAAAATGGCGTCAACTGGAGCGATAATACATGAAGGAATGAGTTCTTTTCCCTCCCCCACACACATCCGTATCGTCTCAGGGGGTGACCACAGTGTTCTGCCTTAATTCGTGACGTTTTTCTAAGAACTGGCTGCTATGTACTGTGCGAAATCAATCGATCTTGCAAGAATAAATTTTTGGATATCCCTCTTCTAAGAATTCCAATTGAGTGTGTTAGTGTGGCCAGCTCAGGGCAATATGATATTATAAACACAGCACATATCACCTGCTGCTTATAACTTCATAGGAAAGAAAACACGCCATTCATAACAGTTTGAATGAGGAAACCTCTCCCAAGAGCAACAAGAATTTTGCTGCAAGACAGGCATATGTAACGATGACTTAGCGCAGCTAAACTCATGGCTTATTATATACTGTTATTGTGACAACAGGCCAGCGAAAAATCTAACAATCTACAGCAAAACCATCAATTATTATGGGCGTTATAACATAGGTGTGCAGCTGGACGAAACATAGACGTCGAACCCCCGCAGACAATTTAAAATACCTGACGAAACATACACGTCAAACCACGCTGAACGGTTAAGGTAGTTATACATTGTTGCTTTCCTGAGCAGATATATTTCAAGAGTATTATTATCTTCTAGGATATGACACTTTGCAGTCAAGTACACTTACTTTTCAGAGGAATGTACTGCCTACATCTTCGGGGTTGTAGAACAAGCCAAGCAAGCAGCCAGCAAGCACTGTGATGTTTCCTGGTCCATGAATAGGAAAAGTCTGAGAATTACAGAATACTCTTTGCATTCTCTGGGGGTACAATCCATTGCATTAGATACTGTCAGCAACAGACTTGTATTTGCTGTAAACTAATCCAAACACCAGTGAAATATAAAGAAATGTCACAAAGAATTCATTTTTTAAATGTGTGCATTCCAAATTGCATTTACTCTTCTACCCTTTGACATTGGAATTGATTCTGAAGTTAGATACGTGGAAATGTCCCAGCATCTGTAACTTCTAAGGTTATGACATACCCATTGTCACAAGAAGAAAGCACTTACATGTTCTGCTCCTCTCAGTTGGTGGACCAGTGTGAGAAGAGTTGCGTGCTAGCCACAGGGTGTGAGCTGATTGTTACACCAGCGGAGGAGACTCTCGTTCAGCTTCTGGCTCCAGATGGACCTATTGACCACACATGGATACACAATGTTGAAATGCTTATCTCAGGTTAGTTCCTCTGCTTATGGTCAGAGTATAACGAAAGTACGTGATACTGTCACACAGTTGCAGTCTGTACAAGTGGTGACGTTAGTATGAGAAATTTACTGCAGACTTCTCATTTATGACATGGCCATTACCGAGCAGGTTGGCCCAAGCAATGACATTTCTGACTTCCAGCCCGTTCACTGCCCTCCTGATTAGGATTATTGCCGTGTTTTCAGTCCTTTCACGTAGACACTGGGTTATTACCACAGGTTGGGCCACAACTGCTTCTTGTCGGGCCATTTCCGGTTCTTCATCTTCTGTAATCCTACCATTTGACACTGTGTAGCCTGAGCTGACGTTACTGTTAGATAAGTCATAAAGGAGCAGTACTGTTGTAAATTTATGCAACAGATATTGGTTATTTTCTTATTAACTTTATAAATTTGCTATAATTGCATCTTAACTAATGCTCATCTTGTGCAGAATGTGCTTGTTTACTTGGTTGCTGTGATTGCATGGACTTCGTGCCTAGAGGCTACGTGTATTACGCAATATATATTTTGTTTCAGATACAGTGAAAACATTACAACAGAAGATGGGGGAGCTTCAGGAGTCATTGTTTATTGTCCAGGATTGTGTAAAGAATCAAGTAATAGCTGTAAGGAACCGCCTTTCGTCACATCATAAGTTGATGTCTGACGTGCGGAACTTGTTGAAGTCCATGGTGAAGGTTAGTTCTGAAAAATTCTTGTTCTTGTCCAGTTATGAGAGTCTCACACCGGTTGTTATGAAGAGTTCTGTCATCTGGGATATAATACCGTGTTGTCTGTTGAAAGTCAGTCAACTTTTGAGAAGAATGTGTCGCTTCCATCTTCAAGGTTCAAGAATTAACCAAGCGAAAAAACCTGCATGAAGCAGGTAGACAGCAAAATCCTACTGCAGCAGAAGCAAGCCGAAGAAGTTGAGCAAGAAACCAACATGCAGCAGGTAGTAAGCAGAAGGCAGGCTACATGTTCATCTGAACAGTCATATGACTTTCAGTGGATTACATGGCATTACATCCGAGAACTCTTCAGAAGTGCCACTGCGAGAACCTTAAGCCCTGCAATTCATGTTTCTAGTGTCATATGTTCAGATTGATCTCAGCTGAAATGTGTTGCGTTACATGGACTGTGAGTTCTCTTCCTTATGTTTAAGGCAAAGGTAAGGTAAGGTAAAGGTATCCCTGTAACAGGCCATGGAGGCCCATAGGGTTGAGAGATGTCAAGGGTCCCACATTTTCTAGAGAGTCGGCTCACAGATGGCGGTGAGGTTGTCAACCTTATGCACCAGCCACCCTTTACCCCTAGTAATATTCCTGGTACTCATTTCTGTTAGAGGCTGAGTTGACCCCAGGGCCATAGTGAGGCTGGAAGGATTAGGCAAATTGAAAAATCCACCTCATCGGAATTTGATAAAAGCAACCTTCTGGCTTGTAGCATAGTGCCTCAACCAACTGCGCTACCGCGTACCCCATATGGTTAAGGCACAAAGAAATAATGACAGTGAAAATGTTAAATAGTTCCGTTCAGCGTGACTGGTTATGATTTTCTTATTTCAATTATTCAGGGCATGAATAATTGAAATAACAAAATCATAACCAGTCACGCTGAATGGAACTATTTAACTTTTTCATAATATTAGTGTGACAGACCAGAATGAAACAAATCAAATAATGACAATTTTAAAAATTTGTTCATCGTCTGATATTGTGCAACACCGTAGAAAGAAATGGACAGGACAGATTGAAAGATCAAGCTTTGATAGATAAGTGGCCTTTATGTTGCAGCTGGAGGACTGTGGATTGGTAGGGTTACAGGATTATGTGATGAGTTACCGTGCATACTCCGAACATTTCTCAGCCCTGATCCGTGAACTGATGTTGAATGAATTGGATGTGGACCGTGTCCACAAGGCCTTGGATCAGCTGGAACATCTGAAAGAAAAGACAGGTAAAACAAGTATTAAATGTAGTGGATAAGGCATTGCATTTACCAAGGAAAATACTCTCAGACAAAGTGATGCAGAAGGAAGGATTTATGTGTGTTATTATTTATTTTTTTAAGGTGCTGGTAAAAATGTAACATTCTGAGAGCCTTTTATTTTTCAAGCTTACTTTTATATCCTTTGAAAATGTGGCTAAGTTCAGATGTTTCGGACCTGCAACAAAGCAGTTACTGGCACAAAGGGAGGAGAAAAGATGGTAACTTTACAAACAATAAGTTATGAGGGTGAGGTATGGGTGGAGCTGACCTGGAAATTTGTCTGGCATTGAAAGTTGGTATTAGCAGTGTTGAATCACAGATTTATTATTTTTAACATTACCAACAAATTTGTCTGAGCTCAATGTAATATAATGTTTAAAATGTTTAAAATCCAGGCCCAATTTATGAAGTACTAGTAATGTTTGCCAAACAACAAGAGGAGGTGCAACAGGAAAGGACTTTAGCATGCAGCCGACCTGCAACAGGTGAGGAAACGAGTACCTCTGGAAGTCTGGCGAGCCGATCCAGAAGACCGCCCCTGCTGCGGCAAGAGAGCATTTGCCTGTCTCCCAAGAAAGGTGTGCCAGTTGCACCCAGCAGTGTGGTCACCAAGCCAAGCAGGGATCCTCATACTGGCAAAGGTAACACCAGAAGAAACTGAAAATTTGAGGTCAGAGTCTAGGAAAGTGAATTTAACACAATTGGACTCAGCTCCAAGCTTGTCATACTACCCTGTGGTAGAATAATTTTGTACAAGGGCCAAGATTTTGAAACTGTGGTGGTGACTATGAAGATGTGATGCTGTGTGGTCTATATTTTGCTGCTTCCATTTTGGTCAGAGTGTCAGCCCTGAAGATGGATGCAGCACATTCCCACGAAATGTTGCTAAACTCTTAACAAGATTATACAGCATCACTCAGAAGACAGTGTTACTCATATATCATATAGTACTTGCTGTTGAAACAACATTTATGGCACCTAGATTTCACTGAATAGCTTTTTGCATGTTGCCCAAACAGTTCTCTGACAATTCTGTATTGTTATCTCAAATATCTGCTTCTTACAGGACTTCAGAGACCATTAGCTATGGGTTGTAGCTTCCTGTAATAGTGTGTTGTTACATTGTCTCACTGATATGTATCAGTGATGCTTTACAATGATTATTAATAGACTGCACATCTTTAACATTTTGCAGCTTCCTGTTTTGCTATTTTATTTCTTTTCACACTGGCCTACCACTGAACAAGGGTTGTTTTCTTATAATGGAAAATGTTTCTTTCACTATCTAGTGACCAATAACACAACCAATAAGTAATGATTAAGTGATATTTAGGATTGAGTGCAGGATGGACTGTAGGTATATGTAGCTTGTCCATTGTTTTCAATTTTGTATGCTGATTTTCCCCTCTTTTACCATTTGTAATTGAGAAGTGACTGAAACATCCTCTTTGTTTTGCCAAGAAACATAGTGTATTGTTAGTGCTTGAGGATTGTATTTTGTGTGTAGAACCTGGTTTGGTTCTCTGGGAGCCTACTGAATTTATTGACTGAGGTCTTACATGTATCTCTGTGCTCTCCAGGAAGATGCAGGGATACTACCTATAAACATGTCGAGACACTCCCAAGTCATTATGTGTGATCTGTTTATGATCATATTTCCATTTCATTTCATACACTATGCTTTCTATAGTCAAATGGTGCCTTTATATAATATGAGAATTGCCCAAGTTTGGCACAGGTTGCAAATAAGAACACTAAACCGTGTACTGTTAGTTCCGCGGAACTCTAGCCGTGGTAGAGGGGTCATACCATCTCTCGCGGAGCTGGGGGAGCAGTCTTATTAGCTTACATCAGCGTGGGTACTAGCAGTTTGGAATGTAGCATTTTGTAGTGTGGTCAGGTATATAGTACGTTGTGTATCTGCTAATGATCTCTGTAGGCAATGTTTTCCGCTCTGGGAGTAGCTCTGAACATCACCACAGCAAGCGAACAGCAAGCGTGCTCCACAACAGCGTTTACCTTTCCGCACAGCTAAAGTTAGGAGTCACTAACTATACTATATTCAAAATTTTTAACCCCAGATATTTAAGAGGTAGCAATATCCATTCAGACTTCCCAACCGCACATCTGAATTTGTAAAATTTGTCAAGACATGGCTTGAAAGTATTGTCAGTTTATAAAGTTTCAAACCGTCCACTCCCATTATTTCTGTATGTGAATGAGACACCATTGGTAAATCTTCCAGAATTTGCCCATTGATTGTTTACAGCTGTGCAGGAGAGGAATGCATATGCACTGGGGGTGTGGAGAAGAGTGAGAATGAAGCTGGAAGGACGAGACCCTGACCCTGGTCGTAGGGCTACGGTACAGGAACAGGTTAGCAAGGATCTTATTACTTCTAATTTGAAGATAATAAGATTATATTGTCTCATATCATGGAAAATCCTGTGCATATGCTTAAATCATTGCAGCCATTGATCTTCTGGCCATATAAGCGTGTGTAAGTGCAGCATTTGTTTCAGTTACATAGTAGATTTGTTACACATGTTTTTCAAAGTGCATGTGAAAAAAATGAAAATAATTTATATTTTTCAGGTTTTTTCAAATTTTTATAACCTCCAACACCAGAGATACAAAAAAATTATTCTGAGTTATATGGAGAAATGTTTACTGGAAAAACCGTGTGGCATGGTGCTATTCTAGACAGCAGATCACGATGATGGGAAAATAGTATCTTGCTCTGTGCATCAAGTTGCATTTGTTTTCTGACCCTAGTAGAACCCGTATATTACTATCATTGGTCGTGGTCCTTGGCTAGTCTCTTCCTTCACTCTACCTCCCAGCTTATTTCCATAACAACCATCTTAAAGTTATCCTTGTGTCTCTGCGGTTTCTCAAATAGCAAGAGCTTTTCCTACTATGGGTCCATTCCATTGTGGCTTCTTTAATTTTTCTATCACTGACACCATGTGACGTACATAAATCGCAAATTTTTCCATTATGTATAAAATCCTCGTACTTCAGCTTTTGGGGGTGGTGGGGGGGTGGTAGGTCCTGTCTCCTCGTTGTTTATTATGGTATGTTTTTCTAAACAGTACAAATCTACAGTCTTGAAATTTGGTACACAAGTATATATGGGATTTTCATATCTGTTGGTTTTTTGTCATAGTAATGTACTTGTAAACAGATTTTTTTTTATAATTTTTCTCCTAAGAGATGAATTTCTTCAACATTTTTGACAGAAAGGCATGGCTCTGTTTAGTGACCTTTTTATTTTAAGCCCAACACAAAGTCATGACCCCTTAAATCCATGTAATTTATGTTCTTTTCTCAAAATAGAGACCGTGCTTCACACATATACAAAGATACTTGATAAGTTAATTACTATAAATATATTCTTGCAACTGAATTTAATTTGTGACTTCATTGGTCCAGGTGGAGTATGTCATCCGTGAAGCGATGAGCCTCGACAATTTGGCTTTGTTGTATGAGGGTTGGACGCCATGGGTATGAAGAGGCTCAGCTGGATAGGGATCAAGCATTTGGTTTGAGTTCTGGGCAAAACAAGTCCCATCGTTCATCGTAACACATCGTCGACGTCCCCAGCACGCGGGGAAGAACGAGCGGGAGATCAGATGCACACATCCATCTCTCCCCGCACGTGTACATGACGTGCGGGTGTCCAAATAAAAAAAGAAATAAATAAAATGCAAAGCCAAATGTAAAGCTTGTCATCTGATTGCCAAAGCTTTACGGCCGAGTGAGCAAGTGGTAACTGCTGGCTTGGTTATCGAGCGATCGCTGCTAAGCAGCAGATTGTTGGTTGCCATTATGAATTTAACGGACAGCCGTGATCACAACAGTTTCTTAAGTGATGCATACCCCTCTCTTCTTTATTATCTCTCTTGGTACTTTGCATATATCCTTAGTCATATACCTCACAGGGGGAGACACGAAATGAGGTTGTCTGGCTAATGGCAGAGGAGATACAGCTGTAGCAAATGACTTGTAATGCCAGGTTCTATAAAACTTAAGTTTAATCTAAATGTCCTGTGACATACTATTTAATTAGTTAAGAAATTTAAAGTAAAATTACATATTCTTTGAAATCTGAATGATATAACCCAGAATATTTTTGTTCATGAGGACAGTTTTTATCAGCTTCTAGTTACAAATGCACATGTGTTTGTTAGCTGGTTTACTGTGTTAACTTAATAATCTCTTTTAAATAAGACATCAGCAGAGTTGTCATATGCATTCCCTGCTTCTGATGAATCTTGATTTCAGCCATTGTAAACCATAGAGTTGTTGAAGAAAGTCGTCTTCCGGGATCTGGCGCTGTGTATTCTTGGTTTTAACCGACGTTCCTCTGAAACGTCAGTTAAAACCAAGAATACATGGCACCAGATCCCAGAAGACGACTTTCTTCATAGTCATCGCCATGAAAACCTCAAAACTTACATAGAGTTGTTCTTTGTTGTTTTGCATTTTCCTCAAAACAAATCCCAAGATTGCTTAAATTAATAACATCATTTGTTCTTAAAAATAAATCAACTTCATTTTTGTTGAAATTAAATTTATTAAATTAAATTAAATGTATTTATGTTGCTTATTTTTACTGAAGAAAATTTAAGTGTACATTAAATTAGTGAACTTCCATATGAACAACATTAAAACTACTGAATAATTTGTAATATCAGCTAAGAAAATAAAAACATGAGGAATTTTTGGGGGCCAGAGTATGGTACTTTATTGAAGACATGTAAATCTAGTGGCTGTTTTAGTTCATTATAGACTTTGAATTCATTTTATTACAATAGAAAGAACTGGCACTTTGTAGGTCTTGTATAGCCGAGGTGGCGGGTTGTAGGTCTTATGTAGCTATGTAGCTGAGGTGGTGGGTTTGATTCATTTGTATTTAAATGCTAATTAGTGTCTATTACATTAATCTTAGGAGTTACATACTTAAAGTGATTCTTATATTAGGTCATAGTTTGTATTAGACCATAAATTTTCAGTGTGAGAACATGGAAATAAAATGGGCCTGATACGGGGTTATGCAGTTTGATCTACAGTTCCATATTATGCAGGCAACAGATATCACATCAAACTTTGAAGTTGAAGTGAAGTGAGGACTTTGCTCAGATTTTATTTAGTTGAAAAAGTTACAATATGTCAGGGTGACTGACAAAAATACGTGTAACTGTATTATCAGTTGATCTCACTTTGGAGTTCAGTTATTTCATTAGCAGACACATTAAGCTGACTGATAGGGGATTGGTATGCACGAAATCTTCATATGTAACTGCCAAAAGTCATCCAGTCTTGGTCCAATAAGCCTGTTTCAGATGAGAGACTTTGGAAAATGTGTTTGTCAGTCAATTCCAGAGGTAATTTCTTCTGTTTAGTAGTTATCTGTTTAAATTCTGGGTTGCTTTATTTCTTCTTATTAACCCTCTAAATGTATCAAAACAGTTGTAACTTTGCCAGTAGAAGTATTACATTATAACATCCATATGAATTACCGTATTTACGCATGTATAGGCCGCACATTTTTTGCCAAAAATTCAAGAGGAAAACTGGGGTGCGGCTTATATTCGAAATATTCGAAATCACACTTCATTTAAAAAAAATTATATTCATAATTAGTAATACAGGGTGTAATACTCCTGAAATAATATTCCAAGAAAATTATTTTTTCTATAATTTCTGTCTGAAAATTGTGCTGCGGCCTATACACGCACGCGGCCTATACATGCGTAAATACAGTATGCTTTAAATTCGAATATACGTTGTGGCCTTGATAATCCAAACTAATTAGAGAGCTGATGTGTTCAGAGTAATCATACCATTTGGATTACAGGATTTGAAATAAAATATTCTGATTTTTTTTTTCTTTGTAAAATCATTTGTTCGTAATATTTATAGGTACCCATAGTAGCCCAACCGACAAGTGGAACCCATGGATATCTGACTGCATTCTAGTCTCACGACAAGTGTTGGCCAGATTATATCATTCATTACCTAGAGAAGCAGGTCCATTAGCATACAGTATTATGTTTCACAAGAATCCATTTTTACTGCAAGAAAGTAAAACAGTTATATCAAATTTGTAATTTTTGTATGCTTGTCCCACCTCCCCTATTTGGGGTTGGGGTGGGGTGTGCTGAGGCTCTACTGTACTAAGATCAGAGTAATTAGAGCGTTGTCAGCGAGGTATTTTGAAGGATGTATGAGGTATAGTTCTGATTCTGATAATGGAGTAGCTGTCAGGCCTCACTCAGCTGGCAGTGTTTGCTGTATAAGAATTGCTCTGCGCAGCAACCAAAGGGGGATATTAATATTTCTATTGAGGAGAAGGGGAGGAAACAGGGTGCACTGTTGGCTGATTGCCTTAGATGTAATTTACAGTAATATTTTTGGATTGAAAATGGGACACAAGGTCCTCAGAGACTCAAGCTATTGTTATATTTAAAACTTATAAATTTATAATTATAATTTGAAAGTCATAATACATTTGTTTTGTTCAAGTATTAGAAGCTGGTTTTTATTTTGGTATTGTCAACACAGTGCTATCATGCATTTGGAATAACGTTTTATGTTCTGTTGATGCACAGTAAGAGGGTTGGTTACACCAGCATTTATGGTTTTGGTAAGTAATGTGAAATGCTGAGACAGGTGAGGTAACTGCATGTGTGTATCCAAGGTTTTGAAGGTGTGGTTTGATTGGTTACTGATGGCAGCCAAAAAATGTTCACTGGCAACTATGTAATTTCCCCAATTCATGAGATGACTTTTGGAGTTATGGCAGTCTAATACTCAGTCATTTGTGACACAGAGGAAATAGCATACCACATCCAGAGCTGTTAAGATCAAAATAATTAGCGTGTCATCACAATTATTTGTCTTATAAGTTCACTGTTTTTTGCCATAATATGATGCTTCACCTGTGAATGTAAACAGCATGACAGGAAGGAGTGAATTTTGTACACTAATCAGATTCATCAGAGTGAAGTGCCAGAAAATATGGTTTCACCTTTGCCTCATAACAAAAATATTTATCTGGCTACCAGATTTTCAAAAATATTTTGACCCTTGTGTATGTGTCTATACATCCCATGATGGATGTTTCCAAATGGTTTATTTGAAAGATTGGGCAACTAAATTCATAGAGTTTATATAGTAGCTAATGTGAGGGAATCCTCTAACTTGGTGAGTACAGTGTATCTTCAAAGCACCAAATGTATGAAAATTCAGAACTTCTGAGGACTTGGAACATCTGTTCTTTCAGAGTTTTGAGACCATCAAAATGTCCAGAAATACCTTTTTACAATATCATTCATGTAATCGACGTCACCCTTGTTAGTAATAGCTCGTTTCTTTTGTTATGTAGCAAGTACAAAATAGAATAATGTGTTTTATGTTTGTTAAATGAGAGATCTTTTTGAAAGGAGAGAGGGTATGTGTTGCTGTGTTGTGGTTGTCAGAGGGGCACCACCAATATTAACGGAGGGTAACAGAGCCCATAAACTTCTTGTGTATTTTAATATTTCAATTGGGTTTAGTTAACATCGCACATATCTGACATTTCACATTTCTGCTATCGTGGTAAGTCGGTACTTTCAGTCTGTGTAATTGTTTCAGGTGAGAGGAGGGAAAAATTTACATTTTTTGGGATTAGTTGTAAATGTTGCAAATATTGTCTTTCAATTTAAAATTCCATAGTTTCTGTCAGTAATTTTGTAGATTTAAATTTTGGTCTTCTGGGTTATAACACCAAATGGATACCTGTGTTTCAGAGGAACAAACCATCTTCATCTTTGACCATGAAGATTGGAGAAAGCATTTACAATCCTCGTACCAACTCTCTTTTGTGATTGTTCATAGCTCATTAAATGTCTTCCATTATCTCTGATTAAAACTCTTTGAGCAGTAGCTAACACATCAAACAAAAGACAGCCTAGAATGTTTATGTAGGATTTGAATTTTAAGTAGAATGTTCGTATTTTCCAGATGTTCTTCTATTTCAGAAGGAGGGGGAGGCAACAGATTAGATAAAAGCAAGAGTGAGCAAGAAGTTGCATGCTGGCCACTTGTGGCCAATGAAAAGATTGAACCTGGCCCATGATATTGTTTGAATATTAATAGTACAGTCCTTTATGAATTGTTAAGTCATTTTCAATAATTGACAGGCATTTAATAATTTTTCCAGTACATTTTTCTTGTAAGGCTGTTCAGCCTATGATTATTTCACAGAATCCCCATGTAAAAGTAACTGCCATATCTGTTCCTGAACTGAGAATATATGCAAAACCATGTGAAGTTCATGCTAGAATTAGGTCCATTGACAAATTTGATTTCTAGATACGATTGTCACATTTTATTATAGGTAATACAAATTGTTTGAGAAGACTGGAACACCTGAACATGGTATCAAACACAGTAAAATAATGTGGGATTTTAATTTTTCTTGGCTTGTAGTAGGCATTTTGTTTAGCTTTATCAGTTTATGTATGGCACATTAAGCATTCATTAATGAGAACAAGTTTTTAAAAATGAATATTCCCATTTCAACTGGATTTATAAAAAACTTATATAAAGAGGTGAGATGTTTTCCACTTCACCCACGTTAGATGTTATAAATATTCATATCAGTTTGTGTTTGCTGAGAAAAGAGGTATCAGATCGAAAGTGAGATATGTTATTTTTGTTGTCAATGCAGAACCTGTTTGTGCAAAGGAATGTTGTTCAGAAAATATGTGGCACATTTTATTTGGTTTTACATATAGGAATGAGGATTCGATTTTTAAAGTGAAGCTGAAGAAATGAATACACAGTCATGTTTGTTGAATGTTTATCTTCAAAGAGGCTTTTTTCTAACCAGACAAGTTAGTCTGATAGTAACACTTTGAATGTTTCTGGTTGAAATCTCAGCAGTTTCATGAGTTTCATTGTGATTGCTAGTGTATAAGGAATTCTGTGTTAAAATTACAACTTTCATTAACTTTTTCTCCCATTCATAACTGCAGAATTACTTATCTGAAATTTACTGAATATTCATTAAAGCAGTAGTACAGCTGCGACATGGACAATGAAAATTCACTTCAACTGTGTGTTTTCTAAAGTCATTTCACACTTTGGTTACATGACATTGCATAACTGTAACTGAAGCATTTTCAAAACAGCTTTTCTTCTAGGAAGTCAAATGGCATATCCACAAATAATCCTCTCCAAATTGAATTTTAGTAACAAGCTTGAAGGTAACATGATTTATATTTTCGAAGGCCATAAATAGTTTTTTTTTCTGTGGTGCTACAGCCCCAATTTGGGCCTAGGTCCATGAAACTCTCCGTTTCAC